TGGTATCAGTTCTTCTCTGAATGTTTGGTAGAATTCTCTGATGAAACCATCTGGGCCAGGATTTTTTTTTGTTGTTGGTATTTTTTTGATGACCTGTTCAATTTCTTCTTTTGTGATGGGCCTGTTCAACTTTTACATCACAGTCTGTGTTAGTTTATGTATGTGGTGTGTTTGTAGAAATTTGTCCATTTCTTCCAGATTTTCAAATTTGTTGGAAAAAATAATTAATAGTATTTCTTTAATACCATAAAGTATACAGTTAATGTTCAGATTAACATGGTTATTTTCAAGTTCAAGATTACTTTGTAAACTGTTAAAAGCCTGGAAAGCATTATTATCATTAAATGACTATATTTGTTATGCTTAATAACAATGATTTATATCCCATTTCTTAAATTATTTGTTGTAATATTTAGTTTTTACAGATACTCTCAAAGAAATGCAATACAAAGGCATGGTGGGGAGGAAAAGACTTTTGGATTCTATTCTGGCTCATTTTAATTGCTAGCCATGTGACATTGGGCATGTTACCTAACATCTTTGATCTTAAGTTTCCTTTTCAACAAGAAAATGAGGCTAATTGAAACTACTTGTGTGATCTACATGTACAGTACCTGGTTTCATAGAATTGATGCTGAATAGATTACAACTGTTGTGTGGTCATTTGTTGTTCTTGTTGTTGTCGTTAGGTGCCATCAAGTCATCTCTGACTCATAGTGACCCCATGTACAGTGGAACAAAACACTTCCAAGTCCTGTGCCAGCTCCATAATCCTTGCTATACCTGAACCTATTATTGCACGTTCCCCTCTTTCGTTGACCCTCCACTTTACCAAGCATGATACTCTTCTCTAGGATCTTCTCCCTTCTTACATCATGACCAAAGTAAGTGAGACAAAGTCTGGCTATTCTTGCTTCCAAGGAACATTCCAGCTGTACTTCTTCCAGAACAGATTTGTTCATTCTTTTAGCAGTCCATGGTACTTTCAGCATTCTTTGCCAGCACAACACCTCAAAAGCATTGACTCTTCTTTGGTCTTCCTTATTCATTGTCCAGCTCTTACATGCATATGAGGTGATCAAAAACACCATGGCTTCTGTCAGGCACACCTTAGTCCTCAAGGAGACATCTTTGCTCTTCAGCACTTGAAAGAGGTCTTTTACAACCAATTTGCCCAGTGCTATACATTGTCTGATATCTTGACTGCTGCTTCCATTGATGTTGATCATAGAAACAAGTAATATGAAGTCTTTGACAACTTCAATCTTTTCTCCATTTATCGTGATGCTGCTTGTTGGTCTACTTTTGAGTAATTTTGTTTTCTTTATGTTGAGATGCAATCCATACTGCAGACTGTAGTCTTTAATCTTCATCAGTAAGTGCTTCAAGTCATCCTCAGTTTCAGCAAGCAAAGTTGTGTTATCAGCCTTTCACAGGTTGTTAATGATTCTTCTCCAATCCTGATGCTACATTCTTCATATAGTCCAGCTTCTTGGATTATTTGCTCATTATACAGATTGAATAAGTGTGGTGAAAGGATACAACCCTGTCACATTCCATTATTGATTTTAAACCATGCAGGGTCCCCTTATTCTGTTTGAATGACATCCTCCTTGTTTATATATAGGCTCCTTATGAACACAATCAAGCGTTCTGGAATTCCCATTCTTCTCAATATTATCCACAATTTTTTATGATCACACAAGTGAATGCTTTTGCATAGTCAATAAAACATAAGTAAACATCTTTCTTGTATTCTTTGCTTTCAGTCAAGATCCATCTGACATCAGCAATTATATCCTTCGTTCCATGTCCTCTTCTGAATCCAGCTTGCATTTCTGGAAGTTTTCTGTCAATATACTGCTGCAACTGTTTTTGAATTATCTTCAGTAAGATTTTACTTTTGTGTGATACTAATGATACTCTTTGGGATCACCTTTGTTTGGAATGGGTAAAAATATGGATCTCTTTCAGTCAGTTGGCTAAATCTCCTGGCAAAAGTGATCAAGTGCCTCCAGTGGGGCATCCATTTGTTGAAACAACTCAGTGGGTATTCTGTCAATTCCTGGAGCCTTGTTTTTCCCACTTCCTTCAGTGCAGGTTCGACTTCTTCCTTCAGTACCATTGGTTCTTGATCATATACCATTTCCTGAGATGGATGAGCATCGACCAGTTCTTTTTGGTACAGTGATTCTGTTTTCCTTCTATCTTTTTTTGATGTTTCCTGCATCATTCAGTATTTTGCCTGTAGGATCTTTCAGTATTACAACTTAAGGCTTAAACTTTTTCTTCAGTTCTTTCAGCTGGAGCAATACTGAGTGTGTTCTTCCCTTTTGGTTTTCTAACTCCTTGTCTTTGCACATTTCATTATAGTAATTGGCTCTGTCTTCTCTAGCTGCTCTTTGAAATCTTCTCTTCACCTCTTTTATCTTGTCATTTCTTCCATTTGCTTTAGCTACTTTCTGTTCAAGGGCAAGTTTCAGAGTCTCTTTTGACATCTATTTTTGTCTTTTCTTCCTTTCCTGTCTTTTTAATGACCTATTACTTTCTTCGTGGATTATATTCTTGATGGTGTCCCACAGTTTCTCTGGTTTTCAGTCATAGCGAATAATAATATATGTAGTCATAGTGAATGGTAATAATAAAGTTACACTTATCAAGTATTACTTTATACCTGACGTCATACTAAAGACAGACTTATATTTTATCTCATTTAATCCATTCACACGAATCTGTTGTCCTCATCCTCATTTTACAGATATTGAAATTTTAGTTCCCAAAGGCCCAATAAATACTGAACAATTTAAAGCAAGAATTTGAGCTCAACCCTGAGTGAACCTGGAGCCTAAGCTCTTATTAACTGCTACGTGTTCCTGGGTATGGCATCAATTAGTGGTTGTAATGTATTTGGTTTGAGAATCTTCTAAATATGATTCACTATGTACATGTATATACATTTAATTATTTGACACTTAGGTGTTGAATACTGTGTTTTTCCAGGAAATGTTGCAGAAATACAGTAACCTCTATGATCTGTCACGATCAGAAAAAGGGAAGCTTCATGATCAAGTTGTGGCCATGTGTTTAGATGGTCAGCCTCTAAGAATGATCCAGCAGCTGCTAGAGGTGGCTGTTGGCCCTCTTGACATTTCTCCCAAGGATGTAGTACAAAGTGCAATAATGAAAATAATTTCTGCATTAAGGTAAGCCATTACATAGTCATTGAGAGAAAACCTGAAGTTATAGTTTGTTGATAATAGTACCTTCCTCATGGTTCTTATGAAAATAAAATAAGATGATATGTATAGAAGTATTTTGTAAACTCTGAAGTAAGTTACAAAAGTGAGAGAATGTTATTAGAGTTCTCTTAGTCTTATATTTTAAAATATCGTGAGAGTGGAAAACCAAGGAAATGGTTCATCAGTGGTACTGTGTGTCACATGTTAAGAAACTAGCTAACTTCTAGTTAGACTCTTCTTTTTTCCTCCCCACTTTCCATTAAAAAAAAAAGAGATTATTCTTGAAATAAAGGGAAGACCAAAATGATGAGTAGGTAAGTGTCAGAATGCCATGTGACTTAAGTGTGGTTTTTCAGATCTTTTCTCTTCTAATTCTCCTTCTTTAGAGCAGTGGAAAAATGGTTTCCAGAAGGTTCATTTGAAGTACATGGGTAAGGTTAATCATACACTGAAGAAGCTAGTGTCTTAGGACGTTATTTGCTTGCAATTAGTGGCATAAAACTGACAATTGAGAAATTCTCGTTCTTTGTCGATATGCTTGTGTCTTCATGGGCATCCAAGAGGATTAGAAAAGAGGAAAAAGTTAAGCTAAGAAAATAATGAGGCATCAAGTTCTTTGTGTGAATAATGCAATTAGGCTAAAAGATTTAGTTGTGTTTAATTTATTCTCCTTTTAAGCATTCTGTGTAGTTCTGTATTGCTCTTGAGGAACTTTTTGATTAAATGCATGTCAGTCTTCTGCAGCTGAACTGAAATCAAATGAGCCTTTATCAGTTTAATTACCCTAGCTTCATGCAGTTTTCACCTTAATGATCTGAGGTATTTAGTACATTTATATAGAGAGAGAAAGATGAAATATCATAAAATATTTTAGAAAGAACAAATACCAAGTTAATAAAGTCTTGTTCCATAATTAGATTATGATGATTTTGTTGTTATTGCTTATAAGAATGATTTTCCTCTTTAAAATTATGACAAGCATTGGTTTGCCACATTTTAATACTTTTTGACTCATAGCTATGGTTTTGTTTTTGTTTTTGTTTTGTTTTCTAAATCAAGCTTTAGATGAAACTCACAGAAAAGAAACATTTTGAAAAGTAATGCTTTGATGAACTTATTTCCTAAAAAGTATACATTTTCCTTACTAATTAAAACATGTTGTTGTTGTTGTTGTTATGTGCCGTCGAGTCGGCCCCGACTCATAGCGACCCCTCCTTGGGTTTCCGAGGCAGTATCACTATGGAAGTAGGATTGCCCAAACTTCCTTATGTGATATTCTTGGGAGCTCTGGTGGCATAGTGCCTAAGGCACTTAACTGCTAACCAGAAGTTTGGCAGTTCAAATCCAGCCACTCCTCGGAAGGAAGATTGGGTGATCTACTTCCATGGTGATACTGCATCAGAAACCCACGGAGGGGCCACTATGGGTCAGAGATGACTCAGTGTCACATAACAACAATATATGATATTCTTACACTTAAAAAATTTTGACATAATTATACTTTTCTCTCTGTACAGTTAGTTCTATTACTAAAGATTTGGTCCTGATTTAATAAATGGTATGCTTGGTGCATAAAAGACATTCAATGAATGTGCTTTAAATCATTCAGTTATGGAAAGAGAGGGAACTTTAGTTTTAGCTCCTTCTTTTTCAAGGGAAAGATTGCTGTTGACAATGTCTATAACATTTGCCTTTTAGGAGCAAGTAAACTTTTAGGCACATCATGACAAAGGCATGAAAGTAACTGAATCAAGCAGTTGATTTAAATCATTTAACTTAAATTACTCCAAAAATTAATCTAAAGCTTTGTTTTTCTTTGCTACATCTTCAGAATTCACTAGAGTTTCAGATACACACTTCTGTAAAATAGACATCATAATACTCCCTGAATTGTAGTACTGTTGGTTTTGTTAAATGGGAAAATGTAAAGGACTTAGCAGTGCCTATTATCTAGTAAGTACCAAAAGTACATTAGTTATTATTTAAAAAAAGAAAGATTAACTGGAGAAGTTAGACCTGTTGCTTAATATAGCTCATATATTTGATGAGCAATGAATATTTCTGAATGACAAAATGCAAGTAGATTTTGTTATTCTTTTGATGGGAAAACATGCATATATCAGACTCTGCACTCCTTGAACACAGAAAATGTTTCTTTTCTGTATCTTTAGCTCCTATTATAGGGTTTGGTACATTTGTAGATAGCATATGCATGGATGGCTGTGAGCTGGCAAAATCCAGGTGGGTTCATCAGAGTATAAATGACAAGCTTATTTCTGAGGCTTGAGTGACCCCCTTCTGAATTAGTTCTTCTCTCTTTCCCTTCATAGTGAAGGCAGTGTTGACCTTGGTGGGCCACAGGACCCACTCCAAGTCCTGGAAGGTGTTGTTGCAGCAGTCCGTGCCAGTGTGGAAAAGGGGTAAGAACAGAACAGTATGTGAACTCTTATTTAATAGATTTCCTCAGGGTCTTAGAAGTACCTTCAATATTCATATTGATGAGCCTTCAAAAGCTAAACAACATCTTCAGTTGTTTAGAAAGAGCTGATAGTTTTAACAGTGTTCTTCGGCTCCTCATCTGTGCTGACCCTATCAGCTGTAGCAGATCATTCATCTTCTTTTCTAAGCCTTGTTTGATATGGAGATCACTGGTCATTCTCAACATCTTTGTAGGGAGGCCAGAGAGGGGAGACTGCTTTGAGCTTCTACAGAACAGAATCATATTTCCAAGGTGTTAACTCTGTTGGATAAATATGGAAATTCTAAAAGTATATATATATTGCCTTATTTTTTAGTCTTTATATGTTAGGTCCACCTTGTCTGAGGCCTCAGAGTGTATAGTCTAGAGTGATGTGAATGCTTCTAATGCCATCTTTAGAAAGAATTTTGCATCCAATATCCGTGGAAGTGATAGCAACAATAGCAACCATATATTAATAATTATATAAAAACTGCCTCAGAATTTTAAAGGTCTTTATGTATTTAATCTCCATATCAACCCTGTAGAGCCTGTATCTAAGGTTTTTGTTATTTTTTTCACTTTTAATTGAGACTATAATAATAACGAAGAAATGGTTGAGAAAACTCCCCATAGTTTCATTCAGTAATATATTTTTTATTTGGATATTACCTCAGTTATTATTGAGGTACAGTTATATTTTTACATAGTTTCAATCAAAATGTATAAACATTTTTATAATCTATTTTACTTGCTATTGTAATACTTTCCATGTATGTTTGCTAGTTTAATTATTTTTTATGTTTGCATGCATTATTGCCATTTTCATATGAAGACATGAAGACTTTAAAGAGAATTTGACTTAGACCTGGGAAATGAAATCTGGTTCCACCCTGACTCTAAAGCGTTATTTAGTACTTGTGGTAATTCAGTTTCTGTGTCAACTTGGCTGGGCCTGGTTGAATGGCTGGGCAGATGGATATAGTATTCCCCATGATGAGACTGGTAATCAACTCCATGGTAGAATCTACTGTGAGCAGCTGAGTAGCTATCTTGGGGAATGTGGTCTGCTTCCTGTATGTAACCAGAAGCCTTGGGGAATGGTCTCTAGCTTGTGGCACACTTGGACCCTGCATGTAGCCTTCTCGTTGTTCAGCAGCCTGCCATGCTCTGCCGATGTTGGGACTTAAAATGGACTTAATTAATGGCCTGCCATGTGGTTTGGTAACATCAGTACTATTACTTTTTACTTGTCAACCTTGGGCTTGGCAGCCTTAGCAGCCAGCAGCTGTTTGAGTGAAGAAAAACCTCTAGCTTCAGTTGTCTGGGAGCTGGAGGCAGAGCTGAAGCCCAAGGCTGAGGGGCTTTCACTCAGCCCCTAGAGCCTGACATTTTGAACTTGGATTTAAAGCCCCCAAACTGTGAGAGAATAAACTCCTGTTTGTTCAAGCCATCCCATTTGTGGTATATTCTTGTCAAAGCAGCACTGGGTAACCAGAACAGAATTTGGACTGAGAGAGTGGGGTGCTGCTCTGACAGATACCTAAAATGTGGAAATAGCAGTGGAGTGTGTCCTTGACCCAAGACCCTAGCAGAGAGACCCCAGCATATGGCATGGGAGACAGTAGGAGCAGAGCCAAGAGACCAACCAGCATGAGAGATGGCAGTAACAGAGCCCAGAGATCGGCATTAAACAGCAACAGGCTTACCAGCCCATGGAGGAGAAAGCCAGGTGCTATTGGGTAGGCGACTTCCTGGTGGAGTGGGTTGCCTTCGGGCTTTAATTGGTACTGGCATAAAATGGAATAGCAAGTTGGACAGCCCACGGAGCAAGAAAGCTGAGTGTTTTCAAAGCAGGAAGATTTCCTGTGGAGTGGGTTGCCTTTGGTGTTAATCGGCAGAAGCGGAGAGACCAAGGAAACGGAAGAAGAGCTGCCTCAGCCTGAAAGGGTAGGACCATGGCCCTTGGGGGTGGAATGATCACAGCCCCCTAGGTTTCAAAGAGCCAGGCCTTCACCAACTTGGTTCTGCAGTGTGGTGCTGCTCGTTCATGTGAGAGGAACGGGGCCCACCAGGCTAAGGGGATGAAGTCACCACTTAGAGGATATAGGGGACTAGAGCCACCCAGTGAGGAGATCTCTACAGATAACACTCAATGAAGATATGTACCAATGCCAAGTTGACTAGGGGTGGCATTGTGGTAGTTTAGCTTGTGTGTCAACTTGGCTGGGCCTGGTTGAATGGCTGGGCAGTTGGATGTAGTATTCCCCATGATGAGACTGGTAATCAACTCCATGGTGGAATCTGCTGTGAGCAGCTGAGTAGCTGCCCTAGGGATATGGTCTGCTTTCTGTGTACAGGGAGAAGCCTTTGGGAATGGTCTCTGGTTTATGGCATGCTTGAACTCCGCATGTAGCCATGTCATTGTTCAGCAGCCTGCCAAGCTCTGCTGACCTGGGAACTTACAGTGGACTTAATTAATGGCCTGTTGTGTGGTTTGGTAACACTGAGACTGCCTTTTTACTTGTCAGCCTTGGGTTTGGCAGCCTCAGCAGCCAGCAGCAGTCTGAGTGAAGAAAAGCCTCTAACTTCAGTGGGCCAGGAGCTGGAGGCAGAGCTGAAGCCCAAGGCTGAGGGGCTTTCTCCCAGCCCCTGGAGCCTGGCACTTTGAACTTGGACTTAAAGCCTCCATACTGTAAGAGAATAAACTCCTGTTTGTTAAAGCCATCCCATTTGTGGTATATATCCTTGTCAGAGCAGCACTAGGTAACAAGAACATTGACTATGGAAAAGCATTTGATTGTACGGATCATAACAAATTGTGGATAACTTTAAGAAGAATGGGAATTCCAGAACCCTTAGTTGTACTCATGAGGAACCTGTACATAGACCAGGAGGCTGTCTTTCGAACAGAAAAAGGGAACACTACATCGTTTAAAATCAAGAAGGGAGAGCATCAGGGTTGTATCCTTTCCCCATACTTATTCAATCTGTATGCTGAGCAAATAATCTGAGAAGCTGGACTATATGAAGAAGAACGTGGCATAAGGATTGGGGGAAGAATCATTAATAACCTGCAATATGCTGACGACACAAACTTTGCTTGCTGAAAGTGAGGATGACTTGAAATACTTACTGATGAAGTTTGAAGAATACAGTCTGCAGTATGGATTACATCTCAATATAAAGAAAACAAAAATCCTCACAACTGGACCTATAAGCAGTGTGCAGTGTAGTAAATTACTTAGTGAGGCTTTTCTACCTGTAAGTTTTTGTAAACTCAGTGGTGGAATGAGCAACTGAGGAGCTCCCGATTGTAAATGTTATCCACCTGGAGTATTTCTTGGGAGTGGCACAACATAGTGTTCTGGGAGGCTCACTTTCTCAGGTGTTTAGAATTCTGATGCTATGATTGGCTAGTTTGGCCACCCTGCCAGGCTCAAAAGGAGGCTTTGTAGAGGCAGAACTCTCTCTGACTGCTAGTTGAGGAAGACATGCTGCTGAAAGAGACACAAGAGACATGCATTGCTAGAGACACCAAGGGACACGCACTGCTGGGAGAGAGATGGTGAGAGACTGTTGGTTGAGAGATGGCGGGCTGGGAGAGAGATTCAGCATTTTTTCTGAACTTGAATTGTAGCCTGGTACTTCCCTAATAAGCCCCATAATCTGTGAGTTCTTTGTGGCCACTACAGTGAATTATCAAACCCAGGAGAGAGGTGGTGGGTGCTTTGGGAGGAACATTTGGTGAAAGGGCTGGAGGGAGGCAGCATGTCTGGCCTTGCAGTAATAGGCCTTGGGTTACTGATAGTGATTCTGTCTTCCTTTTGTGGGGTAAGAGGAGGTCAGGAGATGTGGCCTCCTTGCCCTTTTTGCACAGTGTTGTGATAAATGGAGCAAAGATTGAAATTGTCAAAGACTTCACATTGCTTGATTCTGTACTCAACGCCAATGGAAGCAGCAGTCAGGACATTAGACGACATATAGCACTGGGCAAGTCAGCTTCAAAGGACCTCTTTCAAGTGCTAAAGAGCAATGATGTTTCCTTGAGGACTAAGGTGTGCCTGACACAAGCCATGGCATTTTCAATTGCCTCATATGCATGTGAGAGCTGGACAATGAATAAGGAAGACCGAAGAAGAATTGACTTTTGAGCTGTGATGTTGGTGAAGAATGCTGAAAGTACTGTGGACTGCTAAAAGAACTAGCAGGTCTGTCCTGGAGGAAGTGCAGCCAGAATGCTCCTTGGAGGTGAGAATGGCCAGACTTCCTCTCATATACGTTGGTCATGTTGTCAGAAGGGACCATTCCCTGGAGAAGGATGTCATGCTTGGTAAAGTGGAGGGTCGACGGAAGTGAGGAAGGCCCTCAGAAAGATGCATTGACATGGTGGCAGCAGCGATGGGCTCAAATATAGCAAGGATAACGGAGCTGGCTCGAGACTGGGCGATGTTTCATTCTGCTCTGCGTAGGGTCACTATGAGTCGGAGCGACTCAACGGCACCTAACAACAACAAAACAGTGTATCATTAAACTTAGAATTAAGAAAATATTTGTATTGTTCATAAAAAATAAACAAAATAACCTGATGAACACTCCCCACCAAGCTCTTTGAATGATGCTATTCAGCAATTCTTTTAATCCTCAAAACAGTTCTGTTTTTTAAAATTTTTTTTTTCCTTTTTAAAAATTGATTTACATTCAACAGTTCATGCACATTTGATTTCACGGTCCCAATTACCATCTCTAGCCATAAAAAATACCTCGCCTTCCTATTAATACCCTCTCCCTGTGCCCTTCTTTTACTGTGTATTCCTATCTGTCCAGCTTTCCCTGTATGTGGATGCTGCGCCTCTGGAGTCTCATGGCTGATTGAACTCTGGGTTGTATCTCCCATATAGATATCTTCATTTTACACATTAGGAAGGTGAAGCTCATAGAGGTTATATAACTTGTACAGAG